CAGGACAGAATGAATGGGTCCATGTATCGTGAGATTTTGAGTGCAAACCTCCTTCCATCAGCAAGAGCATTGAAGATGAAACGTGGCCTGGGTCTTCCAACATGACAATGATCCCAAACATTGTGACTGAAGCAGGGAAACGCAGACTTCAGATATGTGATTAACAATGTAATTTATTAACACTAACAATACAAACATAAACGCAGTGCAATACTAAACATAATACAGTGCAAACAAACCCAACCAACCACCCACAGATAACAATACATACAAGCAAGCGTCGTCAGGCAGGCAGAGTCAATATCAATTGGGCAGGTAGGTACAGGGGGAGCAAGCGGAGAATGGTCGGGGTCACAGGCCAGGTTCAGCAGGTAGCAAGCAGCGTAGTACAGAGGGTCAGGCAGAGGGATGGTCAGGGTCACAAGCCAGGGATCAGAACAGGTAGCAAGCAGCGTAGTACAGAGGGTCAGGCAGAGGGATGGTCAGGGTCACAAGCCAGGGATCAGAACAGGTAGCAAAGGAACAGAAACAGGATGCAGGACAGATACAGGGCCCAGGACAAACACAACACCAAGGCAGAGTCTGCAAGTCTGGCCATCCCTTAAATACACCAGTATCATCAGTTCCAGGTGTTAGCTGGCTGAAAGGTTGAGTCTCTGATTGCTGGGAGCACCCGCTGGCCAGCCCTGGTACTGCAGATCAAAAGGCAGGTGAGTCCCACCATTGCTGGCCAGTCCATTCCTGACAGTACCCCCCCCCTCAAGGAGCGCCTCAGGACGCTCCAAACAGTCCTAGCTGGGAAAAATGTTCCCCGCCCGGGTCTGGTAACTGGCGGGATATCAAAGACTGGCACACCGGGCAGGACTCCGGGCAGCGGTACACCGGGCAGAGGCACATCGGGCTGGACTCCGGGCAGAGGCACATCGGGCTGGACTCCGGGCAGAGGCACATCGGGCTGGACTCCGGGCAGAGGCACATCGGGCTGGACTCCGGGCAGAGGCACATCGGGCTGGACCTCCGGGCAGAGGCACATCGGGCTGGACTCCGGGCAGAGGCACAGCGGGCTGGACTCCGGCAGAGGCACACTGGGCAGAGGCACATCGGGCAGGACTCCGGGCAGAGGCACATCGGGCAGGACTCCGGGCAGAGGCACATCGGGCTACCAGGCGAAGCGGCAGGCAGCGGGCCACCGGGCGGAGCGGCAGGCAGCGGGCCCCCGGGCGGAGCGGCAGGCACCGGGCCCCCAGGCGGGGCGGCAGGCACCGGGCCCCCGGGCGGGGCGGCAGGCACCGGGCCCCCGGGCGGGGCGACAGGCACCGGGCCCCCGGGCGGGGCGACAGGCACCGGGCCCCCGGGCGGGGCGACAGGCACCGGGCCCCGGGCGGGGCGACAAGCACCGGGCCCCCGGGCGGGGCGACAGGCACCGGGCCCCCGGGCGGGGCGGCAGGCACCGGGCCCCCGGGCGGGGCGGCAGGCACCGGGCCCCCGGGCGGGGCGGCAGGCACCGGGCCCCCGGGCGGGGCGACAGGCACCGGGCCCCCGGGCGGGGCGACAGGCATCGGGCCCCCGGGCGGGGCGGCACAGGCGGAGCGACGGGCCGGGCCCCCAGGCGGGCGACAGGTCTCGGGCCCCAGGCGGAACTACAGGTCTCGGGCCCTCAGGCGGAGCGGCGGGCGCCGGACCCCCAGGCGGTGCGACAGGTCTCGGGCCCTCAAGCGGAGCGACAGGTCTCGGGCCCCCAGGCGGGGCGGCGGGCGCCGGACCCCCAGGTGGAGCGGCGGGCACTGGACCCCCAGGCGGAGCGACAGGTCTCGGGCCCCCAGGCGGAGCAGCGGGCACCGAGTCACCAGGCACGACAGTGGGCTCCGAGTCAACTGGCATGACCGCTGGCACTAGGTCAGACATTGGATCGTCTGGCTGGACAGCGGGCATCGGGTCACCAGGCATCAGGTCATTTGGCTCGACAGCGGGCACCGCGTCATCTGGCAAGGCAGTGGGCTCCGAGTCAACTGGTATGACCGCGGGCACTGGGTCAGACATTGGATCGTCTGACCGGACAGCGGGCATCGGGTCACCAGGCATCAGGTCATTTGGCTCGACCGCGGGCACCGCGTCATCTGGCAAGGCAGTGGGTTCCGAGTCAACTGGCATGACCGCGGGCACTGGGGCAGACATTGAATCGTCTGGCTGGACAGCGGGCATCGGGTCACCAGGCATCAGGTCATTTGGCTCGACAGCGGGCACCGCGTCGTCATCTGGCAAGGCAGTGGGCTCCGAGTCAACAGGCACGACAGTGGGCACCGGGTCATCAGGTACCGGATTGTCTGGCTCGACAGCAGGCATCGGGTCACCAGGTATGACAGCGGGCACTGGGTCACCAGGCATCAGGTCATTTGGCTTGCCAGCGGGCACCGCGTCATCTGGCAAGGCAGTGGGCACCGGGTCAACTCATGTCACCAGGCATTGGATAGTCTGGCTCGACAGCGGGCATTGGGTCACCAGGTATGACAGCGGGCACTGGGTCACCAGGCATCAGGTCATTTGGCTCGCCAGCGGGCACCGCGTCATCTGGCAAGGCAGTGGGCACCGAGTCACCAGGTACGACAGCGGGCTCTGAGTCAATTGGCACGACAGCGGGCACCGGATCAGGTACCGGATCATCTGGATCAACAGCGGGCATCGAGTCAACTGGCCTAATAGGATCGCCAGGCTGGATCAGTTCATCATGCTGGGTAGAGGCATCAGGCTGAATGCCGGCGTCCGGCTGAGTAGAGGCTTCAGGCCGTAGTAGAGGCTTCAGGCCGAGTAGAGGCTTCAGGCCGAGTAGAGGCATCAGGCCGAGTAGAGGCATCAGGCCGAGTAGAGGCTTCAGGCCGAGTAGAGGCATCAGGTTCCGAGTAGAGGCATCAGGCCGAGTAGAGGCTTCAGGCCGAGTAGAGCTTCAGGCCGAGTAGAGGGCTTTCAGGCCGAAGAGAGGCATCAGGCTGCATACAGGCATCAGGCTGAAGAGAGGCATCAGGCTGCGTACCGGCATCAGGCTGAAGAGAGGCATCAGGCTGCGTACAGGCATCAGTACAGGCATCAGGCCGAGTAGAGGCTTCAGGCCGAGTAGAGGCTTCAGGCCGAGTAGAGGCTTCAGGCCGAGTAGAGGCATCAGGCCGAGTAGAGGCATCAGGCCGAGTAGAGGCTTCAGGCCGAGTAGAGGCATCAGGCCGAGTAGAGGCATCAGGCCGAGTAGAGGCATCAGGCCGAGTAGAGGCATCAGGCCGAGTTGGCATCAGCCGAGTAGAGGCATCAGGCCGAGTAGAGGCTTCAGGCCGAGTAGAGGCTTCAGGCCGAAGAGAGGCATCAGGCTGCGTACCGGCATCAGGCTGAAGAGAGGCATCAGGCTGCGTACAGGCATCAGGCCGAGTACAGGCATCAGGCTGAGTAGAGGCTTCAGGCTGAGTAGAGGCTTCAGGCTGAGTAGAGGCTTCAGGCTGAGTCACGGAAGGCAGGCTCACCGGTTTGGATACTGGCAGGATGGTATTGGTTGGAAAGAAATTTTCGCTTTTTTCTGGTTTTAACTACTGGAGCACTGCAAGTAAACGCAGGTCTGCAAACGAATGGAGCAGCTGGAGACAGAGAAGAACTGGAGGATGGAACAGGAGAGGGAGCAGTTGCTACAGAGGGCTTTTTTACAGGGTTAAAGGCAGGATAGGTGCAGCGAGTGGGAACGGGGTACTGACTGACATGCGGTAGATAGCCAAGTATACTGGGCTGTAACTGGAGGAGCTGGTGGGAATACAGGAGTAGAGTTAGAAGCAGGACTGGGTTTTTGTAAGCTGACTGAGGCTGGGTGCAACAAATCTGTCCATGTCTGCAGTATGGGTTGAACAAAGCTGAGCTTACACAAAGCCTGTCTGGTCAATGACTGCACTGCGTTTATACAATCTCTTAGTGTCTGTGGTGAACATGTGGAATAACGCTCCAGAAAGTAACCCACATCATCCTCTAATAACCACACCAGGGACTCTACCTGGTCTGCACTAAATGGTGGCAAAAATTCATCCCTGCATTCGGGGGAACCAGATGAAACCAACTCAGCACAAACCTCAATCAAAGGCTGCACCTCAGAGAACTCTGTGCCCTGATCTACTAGAACATGAGCGAGCCGTATACATTCTAGCAGTTCATCCCGGGTATACTCCTTCAGAGTTTGATAAGCATACTCCCTGTCATCAAACACTAGCAGATATAAATACGCAACCTCATCCAGATCCATCCTTCCCATCAACAAGCCAAGATGGCTTCCTGTGCAGCCACTTCTGGTCAGGATTGGCCTTGGTGTAATGTCAGGGCTCCCAGGTATGACCAGAGGTGTGTGACTGAAGCAGGGAAACGCAGACTTCAGATATGTGATTAACAATGTAATTTATTAACACTAACAATACAAACATAAACGCAGTGCAATACTAAACATAATACAGTGCAAACAAACCCAACCAACCACCCACAGATAACAGTACATACAAGCAAGCGTCGTCAGGCAGGCCGAGTCAATATCAATTGGGCAGGTAGGTACAGGGGGAGCAAGCGGAGAATGGTCGGGGTCACAGGCCAGGTTCAGCAGGTAGCAAGCAGCGTAGTACAGAGGGTCAGGCAGAGGGATGGTCAGGGTCACAAGCCAGGGATCAGAACAGGTAGCAAGCAGCGTAGTACAGAGGGTCAGGCAGAGGGATGGTCAGGGTCACAAGCCAGGGATCAGAACAGGTAGCAAAGGAACAGAAACAGGATGCAGGACAGATACAGGGCCCAGGACAAACACAACACCAAAGCAGAGTCTGCAAGTCTGGCCATCCCTTAAATACACCAGTATCATCAGTTCCAGGTGTTAGCTGGCTGAAAGGTTGAGTCTCTGATTGCTGGGAGCACCCGCTGGCCAGCCCTGGTACTGCAGATCAAAAGGCAGGTGAGTCCCACCATTGCTGGCCAGTCCATTCCTGACAAACAGTGTGTGCCAACCTTGTGAAGACTTGCAGGAAACGTCTGACCTCTGTCATTGCCAACAAAGGATATATAACAAAGTATTGAGATGAACTTTTCATATTGACCAAATACTTATTTTCCACTATAATTTGCAAATAAATTCTTTCCAAATCAGCCAATGTGATTGTCTGGGTTTTTTTTCTCATTTTGTCTCTCACAGTTGAGGTCTACCTATGATGCCAATTACAGGCCTCTCTCATCTTTTTAAGTGGGAGAACTCGCACAATTGGTGGCTGACTAAATACTTTTTTGCCCCACTGTATATACTTAAATGTTGATTTCTTGGATAAAAATCTGCATGCTGTGTGTCTTCTTCAGAATGCATCCTACTCCAACTGCTTCAATGCTGACTATGGATTCTACAATATTTCTGGTCTATGTCACATGTCTCAAAAATGCACTCTAAATTGTATTTCATGATTAAACCTGCCACATCTCTCCCTCTTCTATTGTAGCATAGTAAAACTACTTACTTATTATGCATCATGTCTCACTTTTCTTAAGCTCTGAAGAAGGGGGCCAGTCCCCTGAAACGCATCAGCACTCCAACCGTATGGTCCTAGGACAAGTGACACTGCCTTCGGCTGGAGTGTTCATATTATATGCCTGCTGTTCTTTTTGGTTTGTGAGTATCCATGTGTCTTTGGGATTAATACAAGGAGCCTGCACCCTCCTGTGTGCTTTTTGTCATTTTTTTAACCTTCTTCCATAGGAAAACCTCTTATATAATGTGCAGTGTAGATAAGTCCTGGAATGCAATTCACACCAGAACTAAAAAGAATGTACATAGGGGTATTTTGGATCCAATGTCAGTTATGTAATCTATAGACAATGAAAGAGCAGAGAGTGCAACCAGCAAAAGAAGAGATCAGAAAAATATATGGATACACCAACATTGAGTAATGTACGGAAGCTTCTAGGAGGTTCACAAGTTTCCATCCTATGCCCAGACCAGGGTGACCCTTCAGCCATGACCAGCAGTGGGGATCAGAGCTGAAAATAGTCCAGAATTGCTGGAATTGGCACTTGTTAGATGTCTAGGATAACTGTGTGCAGTATCTTGGGGAAGCAGAGTATGTCTCTTGCTGATCTTGGAAATGCTGATCCCTGTAATACGGTCTCTTAGGAACAGCCTCTAGGAATGGCAAATGCTTACATGATGTTCAGCATGTCTGTGTAATATTTATGGCTCTTGTCTCTACACTTTAGTTTTTAGTTCACAATTAAAACTGCCTCATCCTTCTCTCTTCCATTGCGACCTAATAAAACCACTTACATGACATGCAGCCTGTCTGTATAGTATTTCTGGCTCTTGTTTCTGACATTATACACTGTAATTTTAATTTTTTTATATAAACTTCTGCATCTTTTTCCTCTTACATTGTAATTTAGTAAAATTGCTCACATAATGTGCAGCCAGTCTGTACAACATCCCTCATGTCTCTGACATTATACACTGTAATTTTTAGTGTTTCATAAAAACTGCCTAATTTCTCCCTCTTACATTGCAATCAAATAAAAATACTCCTATGATGTGCAGCTTGTTTGTGCAATATTCCTGGCTCTTGCCTGACACAATACACTGTAAGTTTTTATTTTCACAATAAAAACACTCTCCTCTCTCCAGCTTATATTGTGGTCAAGTAAAAATGTTTACATATTGTGCAGCTGGTCTGTACAACGTTTCTGGCTACTTTATCTGCAATAATACACTCTTATTTTTTATTTCTGGATAAAAAATTACTTGTATCTCCTTCTGACAATGCTGCACATTTAAGCTCACCACTATGCTTTATGTCTGGCTATTGTCTCTGAAATATGGCACTGTAATCTTTATTTCAGTATAATAACTGCTTTCTCTCCAAAAATGTGGGGTTTTTGGTGTGTACAATGTGTTGAAATTTTATTAAAACCCATCTCCAAACCTCCAACACCTTACAGTCACTTTGCTAAACATGATGCAATAGCCGCCTGTGTTCTGCTGATTCTGTTTACTGAGGATTATGGTGCCTTTCTTCATTTATATATTTGACTGTGGTATGATTTGAAGGA